TTATTGAGGTCATCGTACTTGTTTACTGATAGCGTGGGGGTTTACGGTGAGCTAGACAAATCGCTAAGACTAGCAAGTGTTCGTCACGAGTACCCTCTTTCGCCATTCCTGCTCAACTTCGTCTAACACAAAATACTTCGGGGGAGCACCAAGTGGTCTCCGAAACGCTCCTATTGAATGGGTAGTTGAAAATAAGCTGATTGAGAGTACGCCCGTTGACTGTTTGGAGGACGCACAAAGAGCCGATGACAAACTCTGTTGCTTTGAACCCCGTTCTGAATTTAGAGAATCTGGAATTTGTTATAGTAGACTGCTTNCATTTGCGTGACGAGTGACGGTAGCATAGGAAAGGAAGTAACCAACCGCTTTTCCAAATCACACAAAACTGAAACACCTTAGGTGTCGACATGGTTTCTTTAAACTGAAACTTTGCGCATAATGCACCAGTGTGAGATTAGTTCTACCATACGGTTGAAACCCTAAATATGCATGTGGAAGACATTTATTGTCTAGAATTAGTCGACCATTGGTGTTTACTTAGTCTGGCGCAGATTGAGTAGATCCGAGGACAATCTCTTGAGCTCTCTACGCCACATTACACCTACTCACTTCGCCGTTTTCTTCCAGCTCGGACCAATGTCTGCAAATAGTGCACAGTATGGCAGACGCTGCTCAGGCATTCGTAGGACGTGCCACCCAGACAATACAGCGAAATGGTTTGGCTCAATGGAACACTATTTGACCCTAACACGTCGTCTGACCTCATCATCACGGGATGCTCCTACCATACGCAAGCGATGCTGCGCAGAAAACTATCTGTCTTCGACAGATAGTCATCGGACATGAGCTAATCAGAGATGCCAGGTTTCGTAGCTTCGGACTACTTCCCAAGTGTGGTTACTCAACGAAAGTGCAGGGACGGGTTCTTGCCCATGTTGTAACAACACCCTGCACTTCGAAGGTGCATACCATAACGAGTAACCTCGATTGCCAAACGATTCAACGACTCTTGAATCATCAGTGCGCTGGCACCGAGTAAGGCAATATTATCGGCATATTCTAAGTGTACTTCCTACAGGAAGAAGTTTGACGCTTTTTGTAAAACATCAGCTATGGCAAAGTTGAAGAGAAGCGGGGAGATAGGGCAACCCTGTCGTATAGCACTAGCGACAAGAAATGAGGATAAAAGTTCACCATATTTTTATTACACTTGTGTGATGAACAGCTGACGGGGATGGGAACCGGTAACCCAAGCCTCGAGACTTGGAGTAGTGAACTACATAAGGCCACGATAGGTCAGGTGTGGTGTGGTATCGAACCGGACGACAGAACAGCTGCCTACCGCCAAAGTTGGGTGGCGGCGGCGGGGCTTGAACCTTGGACCATAAGGTCCAAAGCACACCTGTGACAGTGACTAAATCACTGCGACACCATAGGCCCTAATCCTCCACGAGGTCTAGCGGTAGTGCTTTTAGAAGCAGAGTATGCTTCGCGGGTACCCCATATCTCCGCAAACAGTTCCACAGTGCGGAGCGATCGATGGAGTCGAAGGTCACTCTGGTGTCCAAAAACATGACGATAGTTTGTAGTCTGTAAGTGTGGCGGTGTTCCAATGGATGAGAGGTGAAGATTTGATCTATGCAACCACGGAGTGCGCGAAACCCAGACTGATCTTCGCGGATTCGCCTCTCGCGAGATGGATTTGGTCTGCGCAAGAAAACGGACGTTAACAGCTTCGGCGCTATTGGCCCGGTAGTTGGAAAGGCGTCGCGACAGCTTTTCTAGATGGGTGTAACAACTGACTCTCTCCATCTGTGGGGTAAGCTTTCAGTTTCCCAGATCTTTGAGGACAGTCTGAAAAGCCCTTTCACGAGAGCTTCTTCACCACCTTTGAACAGGGCATGTGGTGATCCATCTGATCCAGCTGTCTTGCGGCGTTTCAGGGCTTGGAGCTCCTTTCGGATCTACGCCTCTGTGGGTGGTCCCGCGGGTAGTGACCAGGTTGCATTCTCAAGAGAACTAGTTGAGGAAGACAGTGTGGGAGGGGCTGGTTGAACTGTGACGTGAAAGGCTCTGCCTAGCGTTCCAAGCGTCGGTGAAAACTGTATCTTAGCTTGCCGTCTACTTCTCAGATCGTTTCACTAAGGCACTGTTTTTGGGGGTCGGTAACACGGATGAGTTCGATTAGTTACCGGATGTTTCCACACCTATCTGCTGATTCCAACTTTGCCCGAAGCGTCCACCAGGCTTCTCGGTCGTCTCTAGAACTCTTTGTGAGTTCATGCCTCATAGAGGCGATGTTCACTTGCGGCCAGCTCGTTTTGGTAGTCGGCTTGCATGACCGGGTCAGAAAGCTTAGAGGCGTTAAGCTGTTTGTATCATCTTTCTGCGGCCAACAATTCGCATAAAATACTTGGCACAAACCAATGCGTGGTCGGAATCCAAGCAGGTAGACCAACACGAACGGCAGTCTTTCATACACCCTCTCCATCTATAGCTAATAGTTGTGATCAATCTGAGCCTACATCTGTGCCGAACAGGGTTTACGCCATGTGGTGAGGTGACGCTTGGGTGTCTGAATTTCGAGGAACAGACTGTATTCTGAGCGTATGCTTAGACGTCCATTGTCTGAACGACAGCTATCACGGCCATGATGGTCACCAAGATGGGTCTCATCGAGCGACAGACGGCCAACGCGTGTTTAAGTCCCCGGTCGAGATCACGATATCCGCCTTAATTACTTTGAGAAACCCATGAAGGTTGTGGTAGAAGGCACCTTTGACTTAATCCGACTAGTCTGTGAGAACGCATGCAGAAGAAACGAAGACGTACCGCTCATTTGGTTTCCGCTTTTTGACTTTACTTGAGCCTCAGTCGCACTGCGCATAGTTCGACATCTATCGGGATGCAGCCCAATAGAGTGGCCTCGGCACTGGCGCTTCAGACAATACCAACACCTGCTTGACCAGACGCTGGTGCGATAGGGTGCCCAGAAACGCGCAGTTGAAACGTCTCTTTGGGATCGGAAGGAGACGTTAATCGAGTCAGTGAGCTCGGATCGCGAATGCATGTTTCCGAGAGGGAACACACTTCAATCTCTAGACTTTTGAGCGTATGAGCCAAACCTGCTCCTTGTCCCATACGCATGAACGTCATTACGTTGAAAGAAGCCAGTCTGAATGCACAGTGAGGTCAGAGGAATGGAACGGTCAGCTTCGAGTGACAAGGCATTTCTAAGACAGATGTCAAGGAGGATAGGACATGAACCAACTGACTGATAACAAAGGCACAATTTCAAAAAGCAGTGTTTCTGGACCTTATATTCTAATCAACTGTGGCGCGTTTGTCGAGTTAGAGTAACTGGCCTAGCACCTCCAACTCACAACCAACTGACGATTGCAGTCTTCCATGAACTATTAGGGGTGTCTGACTCAATTGACCTTTACACCTTATTTGATCCGCCTCTTTGCAAATCGATGAATGAATTGTGCTAACCTACTGCGATTAATCAATGTACGATGCTCTTCAGGTGAAACAACCAGGGGGAACTAGCATCAAAAACAAACCAGGGTGTGACATTTTCACCGCTACTTGTCAATTTAAAGTGTTGGAGGACGTTTTGGGAAGATCCAAAATGCTGCTGCCGGGCGAAAAACTGTTCACTCATGAGATCGCCCGTCTATTTGAATAAATGGAAGTGCAGAGACAGTATTGAGTGCATCGAGTGCAAGGGAAT